CGAGCCCCCCGGAGAGGCGCCTGGGACTGGGGTCTAGGCCACTCGGCCGACCCACCCCAAGACCGGTTGGGCTTCTCCGAGTAGGTGCTGAGCAAGCTCGAGGGAAACCGAGCCCTCGTGGGGACCCCCTTCCCGAGCCTGCCTCCCCAGCACTCCTCCCTGCCTTCGCCTCCCGTCACTCTTCGTGGTCCCTGCGCCTCACCCCAGCATGAACTCATTCCCCGACCTACATCTGCCTGCACCCACACCTGGGGGTGGGGAGCCCGGCCGGCCTCTGCCAGCAGCCTCCCTTAACCCAGGCCTCAGTTTCCCCACTGACCCTTGGCTTTGGGACAGGACCCTGCGGTCTCATGCCTAGGTTTCAGGGAGCAGCCGCCGGACCCCCGCAAGGCGGAGCTGAGCGTGAGGCTAGGGTGGGCCCACGGGTGGCGGCCGCAGCCATTTTGCTCGCCCGCCTGCCCGGCGGCTCCGCAGCCGCCCCTGCAGGGCCTCCCCCGCCGCTCCACTCCAGCCCTGCTCCCTGGCAACCCTCCCGCTCCCGCCCCACCCACCCCCGGGCCTGCACCGTCGCCATGGGAACCAGATTCTTCCGGCAGGAGTCGATGCGCACGCCGCCGCCGGGTGCTCCTTTCCCACCTGCTCTGCAGAGCAAAGGGGCTCCCACGGCCCAGTCGTGACCCCGCCCTCGGCCGTGGGTGGATCCCGGAGGGAGCGGTGCTTCCCTGCTGCCTCCTTCCATGGGAATCTGGGTCCCCGTGGGGGGGCCGTCCCCTACTTTGAAGGGTAGACAGGATATGGGGCTCTTTGGGTCCTGGCCTGTTTTCTCATTTCTCAGTGGGGTGCTGCCCACTGACTGGCCCAGCCCTACTCTGAGATCGTGTGTTGGCCCACCGCGCAACTGTCCCCTCCAAAGATGGCGCGGTACAGAGAACACCTGCTTGCGACCACCCAGCCCACTCAGGGCAGGGGGTGCTTCTCAGGGCCCCCCATCCCTGGCCATGAGTCACCGCCCTACGTGCGGGCTCGTGCTACAGTTGGGGAGCTGAGGACTTATTTTCAGCGGCTCTTGTGGGCTGGGAGCAGAGGACACGTGGGTGCTGAGCAGGCCCTGCCCTCCTGCAGGCCCCTCTCCTGGCCTCGCGATGCAGCCTACGGCCACCATGGCCACAGCCACTGCTGCCACCACTGTCGCGATGACCATGTCCTGGGACAACACCACAGGGCGACCCACGGTGAGTGAGAGGTGGGGGGTAGGGGTGGGCTTGAGCATTCAGTCCAGAGCTCCTGTCTGCGTTCCTTGCAGGTGGCGCCCAACCCTGTCCTGGACAACTACACGGTTCTGGTGGTGGTGATGTGCTTGTTTGTGGGGGGCACCCTGGTGGTGCTCTCTGGCTTGCTGCTGCTGTGCCGCCGGTGCTGGGAGGGGCACCGGAGGGGCCACAGGTGAGGTGGGGGTGCACAGGTGTGAGCACTGGGGTATGATCTCTGGGCAGGTGGGAAGTATGTGCAGATGTGTATGTGGGCGGCATGTGAGCAGAGATGTACTTGTGCATATAGGCATGTGGGCGTGCAGGTATGCGAGATCTGTGCAGAGACTCGGGTGTCCAGTATGGGGACACAGATGTGTGTGGTTGCAAGCAGGTATGCAGCCATGTATACACTGGGGTGTTTATAGTTGCATGTGCATCTCTGTGCAGAGGTGTGTGTGTGTGCATGTGTGTGTGTGGTCTGGATAAATCGGTGCGTCTAGTTGCACAAAGGTGAATACAGAGATGTGTATGTGTGTGTGATCTAAGTACACAGGTGTGTACCTGGCTGTGCCTATGCCAGGCTGAGTATTGGGCAGTCTGCTGGCCAGGGGCCTGCCTCAGAGTGAGCCTCTGGCTGGGCAGGACCTAGGGGTAGACTTCTGCAGGCGCTCTGAGTGATGCTGTGCCACCCCTCTAGAGCCATGGAGGAAGCAGAGAAGACCACCACCACCTACCTGGACAACAGTGCCCACCTAGCTCAAGGTGAGACATGAGGCACCCCGTGGCCCCAGCCCCTCTTCCACAGCCACCTGACCACTGTGTCTGTCTCCCCACCAGACTGGGCATGACCCGACTCCAATTCACCCCGGTTTCCTTAAAGTCCACCGCGTAGGTGCCCTCAGGCGAGGGCAGAGCGTGAGTGTGAGAGCGAGTGCCCACCGCCGCCCGGGACCAGGTGCAGCCCACCCCTCTGCCTCTGCTCCACAGACCCCGACTCGAGGGGCGAGGATGCTGAGGGCCAGGATGCCGAGACTGAGCGCTTCCTGTCCACCAGCGCCACTGGCCGCCGAGTCTCCTTCAATGAGGCAGCCCTGTTTGAGCAGAGCCGGAAGACACAGGACAAGGGGCGCCGGTAAGGGGGTACCCCCCCAGGGGGGATGGGGTGAGGTGGCGTATTGCTGACGGACCTGGGCACACTGCACAGGTACACGCTGACAGAGGGCGACTTCCACCACCTCAAGAACGCACGTCTCACCCACCTGCACTTGCCCCCACTCAAGATTGTCACCATTCACGAGTGTGATGGGGGCGAGGCCAGTGCGGTGGCCACCCCCCACCTGGCCACCACCTCCAAGGCCAACCTCGCCATCTTCCAGGTAAGCAAGGAGCCGGGGCCAGCCCATAGGGCTGGGAGGTGGCAGGTAGCTCCTATGCCCAGGTCCTGTGCCTCTAAGTCTGGGGGTGGGGGTGAGGTGGGGTGGCGTTAGGCCCAGGATGGCTAATGTCCTATGCCCTTTGACCTGTCGCTGCTCCCCTACGGCTCTGTCCCACAGCCCCCGGGGAAGGCCCTCACCGGCCGCTCTGTGGGCCCCAGCTCCGCCCTGCCAGGTGACCCCTTCAATTCTGCTGCCGGCAGCACCGACCTCGTGGAGATCAGCCCGTCGGCGTCCAGCGACTCCGGGGAGGGTACCTCGGTAAGGAGCTGAGTGGGTGATCTGAGCCAGCCTGGGCTCAACGGAGGTGTCCCTAGCTAGTCTACTCAGGGTCCAGGTGCTCCAGAGGGTGTGTCCAGGGCTGTGGAGCCCAACCATCTCCCAAGCCTCTATTCAAACCAACAGGAGGCAGAGGGGGTTGCAGGCAGCTACGGGGAGGAGAGTCCCCAGCCTGAGGGGCGGGTGGGTGTTGGGATACATATGGGCACCCGAGCGTTCACAGCCCCCCTTCTCCTGGCCAGCTGGACACGGGGGCCCTCGGCAGCAAGCCTGGTGGGCCAGGGGCCATAGCAGTGCCTGGGGAGGCCTGCGTTGGCTCCAGCTCTGGGGCCGGCTCCGTCCTGCACTTCCTCACTCGCCTGCGGCGCCACGCCAGCCTGGACGGGGCCAGCCCCTACTTCAAGGTCAAGAAGTGGAAGCTGGAGACAAGCCAGCGAGCATGCAGCCTGGACACGAGAGGTGGGCATGGACCTTGGAGGGAGGGCATGTAGGCAGCCGAGCCAGGACCCCCCTAAGACTGACCTCTGGGGTGTCCTGTGACACCCCACAGCAGAGAGGGAGCCCTCTGCCTTCCAGGGTCCTCCCCCTCTTATGCCTGCTGGCTAGCCTGTTGCCAGGTCACTCCTGCCAGGTGGCTCTGCAAGTCTCGCTGTGGCCTCCTCCTCTCGCTGCTGAAAGGTGCAGAGGTCACAAAAGCCTGTCAAGTTCCAGGGTGAGAGCTCTGGGTTCTGCTGCAAATGTGCCTCTCACCTCGGCTCCAGGCAGGAGCTGCCTGAGGTGATGCGGCAGCAAGTGGTTCTGGCTGTGGGCTGATAAAACTATTCACAAAACAGCTGGTGGGCTGATTTGGGCCAAGGGGCCTCAGTATACTACCCCTGGGTTCAGAGCTGCAGCCTTCTGGCGTCTCAGCAGATGACCCCAGGCTAGTTTTGTTACCCAGGACAAGGAAGGTGAGGTTGAGGGGTGGGGCAGGTGGGGCTGAGAGCATTGTCTTGGACCTTAACCCAGTGTGGACTGTTTAGCTGGAGCTGGGGGCCGAGGGCCGATCTCCATGAGGTCAGCGGTCAGCACTGCCGAAAACAAAGTTGCAGGGGTCACCTGGCAGGGTGGAGCAGGGCTGGAGAAGCCGCCCAGTGTGACTGGGCCGGTACTGCTTCCAGCCAAGACTGATGTTCACCTGTGAAGGTAGGGAGGGGTAGGTTCTCCCACCCCAGGGAGGGGCCTATACTGCTTAGAAATGACACTTGAGGTTCAGCCGTACAGGTATAGGGCTGCATCTCTTGGCCCCCAGGGGTCAGGCACCATACTGCTTGGAGCCAAGACTTGGGGTTCAGCAGCACAGGCATAAGAGTGGCTTCTTCGGGATGGGGTGGGAGGAGCTATACTGCTTAGAGCCGAGGCTCGGGTTTCATCCAGTGATGTGGAGCATTACAGACACATATGGTTGCAGGAGCACCCAGAACCTGTTTGCTGAGTGACTGGCCTCCCCACCCCAAGACTTGCCAAGGAAGCTTCTCCCAGGCCTCTCTGGCGTAGGAGGCCTGGCCTGTGGCCAGAGGCCCATGGGTGGGGCTGGGCAACCCCACACTTCCCTGCACCCCCCACCCTAGTCTGCCACACTCCCACTCCTGCCGGCAGCGGTGCCCCCTTACCTCCGGTTCCTGGCTTTCTCTGGCTCTGCCGACTGCCCAGTGATCCCTTCAGCTGCTTGCTGAGCCCCAAGGCTCTGCGGGAGGAGGCCTGGCATTGGTCTGCTCCTGCAGGCCCTGGGGTAGCGCCAACACATGGGGCACTGGACCCCCATGGCAGCACTGGCCCTGGGAATCTGCTGGGCCTCACCTGGCCAGGTGTGCTGACGGATCCTCCCTCCTATTCTGCATAGGGTCCCCCAAGCGCCACCACTTCCAGCGGCAGCGGGCAGCCAGCGAGAGCATGGAGCAGGAGGGGGATGTCCCCCACGTGGACCTCATCCAGTACATCACCCGGGCTGGTGACGCCGCCGTGGCTTTCCCCCACCCCTCCCTGGCCAGCCCCTCCAGCCCGGCCCCCGCTCTCGGCAGGTATTTCTCAGTAGATAGAGGCGCTAGGGGTGGACACGGGGGGCCCCCGCTGGCCCTTTCTCCCCCAGGCGGCCCTGCAGACACGTGGGTGTGCCCTGCTCTGCACAGCCCCTCCCGAAACGGACTCGCTGGGCCCGCCTGCTCACCATGGACTGCAGGAGGGAAGCAGGGACAGACCTGGTAAGGGTGGCGGGCCTGGGGGGGGGACCCAGGACCAACACCCACTAGGTGGGCCCATGATTGGAGCACATTCCTCCAGGCACTGCAGGGCTTTCTGGTGGCCCCATCCCAGGGCTAGAAGCCATAGTGGCTGAGTCCACCCAGGCTGCCTTCTGGAGCTGCCAGGGAGGGCCTGGTACTCCGGGCAGGTGAGGCACAGTGAGTGCTGGATTGCTCTGCTTGGCACCCGACCCTTCCTCCAACTCTCCATCCTGGTTCCTGTGGGTTCAGGTGGGATGGGAATGGGCAGCTGGGTGACTTTACCCAGAGTTCCCTAGAAGTAGTAGGGGCACAGCTACCCACGATGGACCACATGGAAATCAGAATTCATCCCAATGGATCTGTTTGGGGGGGGTGGAGGAGGAACTGCCCACTTCCTGGCACAAAGGTCCTTCCTGCTCAGCAGGGTGGGGCAGGCCCTGCCGCTGTCCTGGCCAGCATTTCAGAATGACGCCAAGTCTTGCAGGCCCCCTGCCCCGAGGTGGAGGGGCCGGGCGGGGTAGCAGGGCCCTGGTGGACAGGTCCCCTGATGCCCGCTGGCTTGCAGGCTAGAGGCGCCCGAGGGGCAGGGCGCCTTGGGAGGAGCCAGTCCCGAGTCCCCCCTGGAGCCGGAACAGCAGCAGCAGCAGCAGCAGCCGCCACCGCAGGACTTGGAAGCCGAGCGAGAGGTAGGACCGGAGCACGCAGCCTGCAGTGACATCTGGAGTCTGCGAGCCTCGCTCGAACTGCACGCGGCCGCCTCCTCGGACCACAGCAGCAGCGGCAACGACCGAGACTCAGTGCGCAGTGGAGACAGCTCGGGCTCTGGGGGTGCCGTGCCCACCTTCCCTCCCTCCTCGCCTCCGCCGCTGGCTCCGCGGCCCAAGGAGGGCGAAGCGGGCGACACGGGCGGGCCGCGCAAGCTGCTGCAGATGGACAGCGGCTACGCCAGCATCGAGGGCCGCTGCACAGGGGACGACGGGCTGCTGGGCGCCCCCGACAAGCGCGTGTCCTTCAGCGAGGGCCGAGCAGCCGACAGCTTCGAGGAGGTAGCGGCCCCTGCCCAGCCCCGCAGCCCGCGCGCCTGGCCCCGTCGCGCGCCGCACCGCGACTACAGCATCGATGAGAAGACGGACGCGCTTTTTCACGAGTTCCTCCGCCATGACCCGCAGTTTGACGAGACTCCCGCGGCCGCGCGCCACCGCACGCGCGCGCACCCTCACTCGCGCAAGCAGTGGCAGCGCGGCCGGCAGCACAGCGACCCGGGCGCAAGAGCGATGCAGGCCGCGCTCCCTCCCGGCACCGAGCCCCGCCCTGCACGTGCGCCCTTGCGTCGTGGCGACAGCGTCGATGGGCCACCGCCACCCACGCGTGGCGTGGGCGCGGGGCCAGACGACGGGGCTGCCGCCATCCCGGTTATCGAGGAGGAGCCCGGAGGTGGCGGCTGCCCCGGCTCGGGCCTGTGCCTCGAGCCCCCAGAATCTTTACTGCACAAGCTGGCGGCCGGCCTCGAAGAGAGACTCTTCCCACCGCGCCTTGCCCAGCCCGGCACCCCTGCCCCAACCTTGGCAGCAGCCGCTCCAACGTCCCCCGACCACAGCCCGGCATAAGCCTCAGGTTCCTAGTCACCGGCAGCGCCGCACCAGGCTTCGGGGGCGGGAGACGCAGAGCCTGGCGCGCATGCGCAGCCTCCAGGTCACGTGGCGCACAAGCACATAGGTCGCTGGTCGCCCCAGGGCGCACACGCACAGGCCCTAAGAGGTGTCCAGCCCCCGAGGTGTCCAGAGGCGACAGGCTTGGGGGCTGCTGGACAACAGGAAAACTGAGTCTTCATCTTTGGCCTACTGAGAACTATTCCAACTACCTTTGGCCCGAAGTAGTGGCCTATGGGTGGTGGGAACCATCGTGGGACAGCTGGCACTGGTCTTACTGGCGGGTGGGCTCGGACTCATGCATTGGGGCTTCAACCTGAAGAAAAGGTAGATGGGAGTACAAAGGTGCATGCACAGAACCTCCCTCGTGAGAGCCAGTCAGGTCGCACGGGGGCTGGTAATCTGCGCATGTGTTACCGAGGTAGCCCGTGGTCTGGGGAGGTTGGTCCTAGGGAGCGCTGTCACCCTTGAAGCTGATTACCTCACTGCGGCGTGTGCTCATGGCCACCTGCGCCCCCTCTGAGCAATAACCGCCCGCCGCCGCTGCTGCTATTTGCTGTTCCTACCCTCACCCTTTGCCCGGCCCCCAGCAGCTCCTCCCGCCTCCATCTCCCCCAACCCTCTGCATGTGAACGGGCTGCCCGCCCCTGCAGCTGCGTTATCCAAAGGAACCGAAAGGGCACCAATAGTGTTTAAATGGACGTTAAAGAAATGCCAAAAGGCCCAGGGTTCAAGTTTTCCCAAGCTTTATTTATTGCCAAAAGACGGGCAGCCCCTGCCGCCACGGTCGCCCTGCCAAGCCTCTACCCAGTGTGCGCACCGACTGTCATGGTGTTTTCATTGTGTTTCCGTTCTCTGGTTGGTTATAAATATCCTGAAAACTCGTGGCCTGCTGCTCCAAGTGTTCTATGTGGACCCTGGGGCACTGTGGCCTTATGGGGGGTGGCTGGACAACAGGTGTCCAGCTGGTGAAGTTGTGGGGCTGGAAGTGGTTACCGAAAGCAAGGGTTGAACTCTGCAGAAGTAGTACCCACCCTTCACACACACACAACCCCAGTGGGCACAGGCCAGGCAGTTCCCACATAACCAAGTATGGAATTGCCCTCGATGCCTCCTGTTGCTTGTCCCAGTACCCAACAGCCTATGTCTTAAAACCCTTCCTTGGGAACATGGCAAAAGGGAGGGGTGGACCCCAGACCCTCCACCTGACAGCCGACACAGCCACCCAGCAGCACCCGCACAGCCACAGTCCACCTCGCTTTTATTTTTTTCTTAAAAAAGAAAAGGAACCAACCAAACGAGAACAGAAGGCAGCCGCGTGGCACCCTCGGCGGCTGGGCATGCACTGTGGG